ACATCCATTCCAGAAGGTACTAGGTAAAAGGGAAAGGGTTGCCACCTCCCTTTTACAGATGAGGCACAGAGCAATTAAGTAACTTGCCCAACTGGGAACTAATAGAGCCAGAGCCCATGGTCTTAACCACTATGTTCTATACGCTTCTAGGAGAAGAAGGAGGAGGAAGAGGGAGAAAAATCCTTCCCCCATTCCTGGGATCATAGCCAAGTCAAGTTAGAAATGCAAAATCTGCTTTGGATATTCCCCAGTCTCCATTTTGGTGCCTTTCTCTCACTTCTCAGAGTGTCTTTCCCAGACCTTGAAGTCATGGGAAGAGCATTCCAGGCTTGGGAGTGGAAGAAATGGTGTTGTCTGGGTGGGCGTCGGTATGATCAGTATGGACACAATGAAGACCGGTTTGGTTATTAGAAAAAAAATTTGTGCAGGCAAGTAGGGAGAGATAAAGGGCTTACGGCTACCACAGAGGTCTTGATAGGTCAAGTTGAGGAATTTGAACATTACTTTGCAAAATGACAAGGGAGGGGAGGGCTTGAGCAGAGGTGGGTGGGTGAGAATGCTGTGCAAAGGGTTGTTTGAGGAAGATTTGTTGTGTCCCCGGGGCCAGAGATTAACTGGCAGAAACAGGGACTGGAGGCATGTGGGCAGACGGGAGAGTGTCAATCTAGGTAAAGATTTTTTTTTTAACGATAAATAGGGTAGTCGCTATGTGCCAGGCACTGTTCTCTTCATGGATAGCAGCTCACTTGGTCACTTGTGGTCATTACAGCTCCGTGAGGTAGGCGCTACCACTGTTTCCGTTTTACAGAGGAGAAAACTGAGGGACAGAGAGGTTAAGTCATTTGTCCAAGCTTGCCCAATACATGGAGGAACCAGGATTCAATCCCAGACAGTGCCTCCACATGCCACGTACTGTGATTCTATATGGTCATTACACTTCGTGAAGAACCATGATAACAATTAACGTGGGGATAAAAGAGATAATCCCCAATTTACTGATATGTGCGATGAGACTTAAAATCCCCAAGGTTTCTCATTCTTATTTTAGAGCTGACTACTTCCCCACTTCTATCCTGTGAGCTCATCTTACCTTCTCTAGTAGATCTTCAATTCATAAATACGTTTTGGGAAGCCTTGCCCATAACTATGTCATAGGTAGCCAATGAGTCAGGGCCACCTGCTGTGATCTCACTCACTGGCAATGACAGAAGCAGTTTAGTTTAATTGCAATGGTTATTTTTTCTTTCACCAAGTGCTTCATCCATTTATACAGGAAACAACTACCCAATACCTATTCCGCACACGCACTGGGTTGAAAGTTAGAAATACAGATGTGAATAAGGTATGGCCCCTGACCCCTTAGGAGCCTAGGAGCCGGGTAGTCTTCTATCACCTCCCTGAGCTCCCCAAAGCAGAACTCTAAGAGCAACCAATAGTTAGGGATGCAGAACAACATTCCGTGGCTGTTGGAAGTGGTGAGAGGTGGAGGTTTGCGGAATGAGTATAAGAGACTTGAAGCAGTTCCTCTGTCAGGGGACATGATGTGTGCCAGTGCCTTGTCTTGATACCCTTCTTTCCAACTTGATCCTCAGATGCTTATTGGCGATTTTCCCAGTCTTGGAAGAAGCTCAGGGGGCTCATTTTATTGATATTTTGCTGTACCAATGGAAGAGGTGACTTGCTTAAGGTGGAGAGAATTCTCTGTCCTCCAGTTCCATCTATTTCATTTCTATAAAAGATGTTCTGATTGATAGAAGAATATGTATAGTATATATCTGGATACAAAGCATAACAATAAAATGAACATTTGTATAAATAGATAATATTTATATTAGATTTATATTATATTTTATATAGCATTAGTATATATTATACTATATATCATTATATAAAATATAATTAATAAAACAAACATTTTAAAAAGATTTTATTTTATTTATTTATTCATGAGAGACACATAGAGAGAGGCAGAAACACAGGTAGAGAGAACCAGACTCCCCGCGAGGAGCCTGACGCAGGACTTGATCTCTGGACCCTGGGATCACACCCTGAGCTGAAGACACTCAACCACTGAGCCCCCCAGGTGTCCCTAAAATGGACATTTGTAACATATTTCCAAATCTGTGAACTCCTCCTCAGTCCCACCCTCTGTCCCTGCCCTCAGAGGTACCCACTGTCCAGAATTTTGTGTTTATCACTCCCTTGCTTTGTAGGAGAGTTTCATCACATGTATGCACCTCTTAGCCATGTAGTGTTTAGTATTGCTTGATTTATTTAGCTTTTAAAAAATGGTTTAATTCAGTATAGAGTTGGCTGTGATTTGCTTTGTCCATTCCGCATTGTACTTCTAAGATTCATCCAAATAGCTCATTTTCACAGCTGTTTATTAATTCATTCAATAAACATTGATTGGACCTCTGTAATATTCTATTAGGTGAATATATCACAGTTTATTTGTTTAGCTTTCTATTGATGGATGTTTGGGTTGTATTTTTTTTTTTTTGGCTTCTATGAAGAATGCTACTAGGTATATTCTTTCACATGGCTCCTGACATACATGTACAAGGATTTCTCAAGAGCATTGGTTTTCTAACTGAGATTCATGATCTTTAGTGGGCTATGAAATCAATTTAATAGATTCAACCAGGATTTTTTTTTTAATGAAAGACAGCTATAACTATGTTAGTGCATTTCATGTGAAGTATTGTTTCATGAAGCTTCCTCTTCAGTTAGGTTTATGTGTCCCAGGCTGTTATGTGAAGAGTTTTCTTACTATGGTTTTTAGGAAAGCTTGAAAGCCTTTACTCCAGGGTGGTGCTTTTTTTTTAATTTTTTTTTAATCGGAGTTTGATTTGCCAACATATAGTATAACACTTAGTGCTCATCCCATCAAGTGCCCCCCTCAGTGCCCATCACCCAGTCACCCCATCTCCCCACCCACCTCCCCTTCCACTAACCCCAGGGTGGTGCTTCTTGAACTATCTGTGGGTCAATTGAAATTTTTTTCCAATCTGTTCCAGACTGATATTTATGTAAAACACCATAAACATGATTACTTGGAAAATGAAATGTTATTATATGCAACAGACATATATTTCACTAAATATGGCATGGCAGTTATTCACAATAGACAAAAGGTAGAAGCAACCCAAGTGTTCATTGATAGATGGATATATAAATGAAATGTGTATACATTCAATGGACTATTATTCAGCCTTTAAAAGGAAGGAAATCCTGTCCTTATATCAAGGAGAAAACTTGAGGACATTATCTTAAGTGAAATAATCCAGTCACAAAAGGGCAAATACTCTATGATTCCATGTGCATCATGGAGGCAGAAAGTAGAATGGCTGTTAGGAGCTGAGGGGACAGATAGAATGAGGAGTTATTGTTTATTGGGTATGGGCTTTTAGTTGAGGAAAATAAAAAATGTTCCGGAGATGGATGGTGGTGATGGTTGCACAACAGTGTAAATGTACTTAATGCCACTGAACTATACACTTAAAAATGATTTACTTAAAAGGTCAAATTTTTTAAAATATGTATTTATTTATTTGAAAGAGAGAGAGAAAAAGCGCAAGCAAGGGGAGGGAAAGGGAGTGAGAGGATCCTCAAGCAGACTCCCTGCTGAGTGTAGAGCCTGACATGGGGCTCCATCCCAGGACCTTGAGATCATGACCTGAGCTGAAGTCAAGAGTTGGCCGCTTAACCAATTGAGCCACCCAGGCACCTCTAAATGGTCAATTTTTATGTTAGGTATATTTCACCGTGATAAAAAAAATGTCTGGGGACACCTGGGTGGCTCAGCAGTTGAGTGTCTTCAGCTCAGGGTGTGATCCCAGTCCAGGGATGGAGTCCCACATGAGGCTCCCTGCGAGGAGCTTCCTCCTCCCTCTACCTGTGTCTCTGTCTCTCTCTGTGTGTCTCTCATGAATAAATAAATAAAATCTTTATCTGAAAAATAAATATAAGTTGGCAGCATCAGGTTGCTATTACATTTCTTAATGCTTACTTTCAATTTTTGCACTTGTCTCATGATGGCTTATCACAGATCATTTATATACTGACACCAGTCTGTGGACTGCACCTCAAGTGGCATTGGTCCAGGGTATAAACCCAAGAACAGAGAAACCAACACGTAGACTAAGCACATGTTCACCTTTACAAGATAATCCCAAATTATTTTCTAAAGAGGGAAATCATTTATGCTCCCACCAGTAGATGTATTAAGAGTTTCCTGTGCTCCTCATCCTTGCTGATACTTAGTATTATCAGAATTCTTAATGTTTGCCAATCTGGTAAATGCAAAAGAGTATCTCATTTTGGTCTTAATTTGCATTTTCCTGATTATTCATAAATTCAAGCATCTTTTTATGTGTTTATTGACAAGTTGTGTTTTTTTCCTTTTTTTTCTGAAATGCCTTGTTTAAGCCGTTTGCTGGTTTTTCTTTTGGGTTGTTGTTATTTTTATTATTGATTTGTAAGTGTTTGTTTAGTCAACACATATTTATTGAGCACCTGCTATGTGCTCTCTTCTGTATGCTGGGAACACAGTAGTGAACAAAATAGATGAAAATTCCTGGTCTCATTTCAGAGTTTACAGTCTGTTGGGTAGAAGGAGAGACAGGCAATCAAATTATTTAGTCACATATATAGTATGTATGGTAATGATAAGTGTTACAGCTAAAAATAAAGCAGGAAAGGACAATAGGCAGGGCCAGGAGTGGTGGTGAACTTGCAGTTTTTTAAACAGTGGTCAGGGAAGGTTTTATTAAAAACATGACATTTGAGTAAAGGTTCTGAAAGAGACAAGGAAATGAGCATGCAGACAGCTATAGGAGAAGTTTCTTATATATTCATTGGTCAGTTAAAGCATTACAGACATCCTCTCCCATTTTGTGGCTTGGCTTCTCATTTTCTTAAAGATATATAAGTCTAAAGTCTATCTATATCTAAAGTCTAATCTATATATGTATAATATATATTTTTTCTTTTTTTAGGGGGGAAGGAGCAGAGGGAGAGGGAGAGAAAGAATCTTAAGCAGGCTCCATGCCCAACTCAGAGCCCGACCTGGGGCTTAATCTCATGACCCTGAAATCATGACCTGAGCTGAAATCAAGACTTGGACACTTGACTGACTGAGCTACCCAGGTGCCTCATTTAAGATATATTTTGATGAAAGAAGTTTTTAATATAGTCTAATATAGCAGCCTTTTGTTTTATGGTTAGCACATTTTGTACCTTGTATAAGAAATCCTTAAAAAAAAAAAAGAAATCCTTCTCTGTCTTGATCTCATAAAGAAATTATTTTTTTCTAAAGATTTTATTTATTTATTCATGAGAGACACAGAGAGAGGCAGAGACATAGACAGAGGGAGAACCAGCCTCCTCGCAGGGAGCCCTGGATCAGCATCATGCCCTGAGCTGAAGGCAGACACTCAATCACTGAGTTACCCAGGCATCCTTCATAAAGAAATTCTATATTTTCATCTAAAAATTTAAGTGTTGTCTTGTATGTTTTGCTTTTAATTTACATATTCATTTTTGGATGTGATGTGAAATAGGGATCCGTCTTATTTCCCCTCTCCCCACGTGAACAATAAATTGTGGGCATCATTAAATGGATAATTTATTCTTTCTCTGGTGATCTGCTGTGCTGTCTCTGTCATAAATCAAGTTTCCATAAGGTCTTCCAAGATTTCAAGTAGGTCTTCTTTGGAGTACTTTGTTCAATTTCTTTGGAAAATTTGTTTGTCCCTGTTCCTATACCACACTATATTACTTACTATGGCTTTATATTATGTATTTATATTTTATTTTTTATATATAGTAGAAAAGGTCTCTACACCTTATTCTTTACTCAAGAATATCTTGACTACTATTAGGACTCTGTCCTTCCATAGAAGTTTTAGAAATAGCTTGTCAAGTTACTTGAAAACCCCTCTTGGGATAAAGACTTGAGCGGACTCAATAGATCAATTGAAAGAGAATTGGCATCATTTTCATGTTATGACTTTTTATCCATGAATATGGCTCATCTCTCCATTTACTTAAATCTTATCTAAAGTCTTTCAATAAAGTTGATTTTTTCTATAAAGGTCTTCCACACCTTACATCATGTTTATTCCTAAGTACCTTAGTTTTGGTTGCTATTATAATTAGCATCTTTTGAAATTATGTTTTCTAATTGTTTATTGCCGGAGTTTAGAAATGCAATTGATTTATATTATCCACTCACCTTGTTAAGCTTTTAAAAATTAACTCTAGTAATTTATCTATAAAGTCTTTTGTGTTTTCTAGTAAACAACTATATTATCTATAATAATGTCAGTCTTGTTTTTTTCTTTTCCAAAATTTATACATTTTAATTTTTTTCTTTTCTTATTGTACTGTATAGGACCTCAAGTACAATGCTGGAAAGAAGAATTGATGCAGACATTTTTGTCTTGTTCCTGATTTTTAAAGGGATGCTTCTAACATTTCACCTTGAAGAATGATGTTTGAAGAATGATGTTTACTCTAATTATTTGGTAAAAACAAAAACAAAAACAAAATTCTATCAGGCAGGAAGTTTCATTATGAATTGGTGCTGGATTTTAGCAAATGATTTTTTTTTCTACAATTGTTTAGATAACCATACAGTTTTCCTTCTTTATCCATTGATGGGATGAATTACATTAATAGCTTTTCCAATGTTAAATCACTTTTGTTTTCTTAAGATCAACCCAGCTTGATCATGACATATTATATTTTTTATACATTGCTGAACTCAATTTCTAGGACTTTTGCATCTATGTGAATGAATGAAATTAGTCTCTAATTTTCTTGACCAGTTTTTTTTTTTTCCTTCCTCCAACAGATCATCACTGTGGCTAAGTAGAGGTCAATTACATCCAATTTAGAAGGCCACCAAATGGCCTTTCCATCCCTAACATCAGTGCACTGATGCCTAAGTACCAACCATAGTAGAGGCCAAACACTCTGGAGGTCAGTGGTAGGCTGGAAGAAAGGCCTGGCTGGTTATCAATCTACATTCCCTTTCTCCCACTCAAAACTCACTTTGTCTAAGAAGCTCTTCCTGTTGCCAGCCTGTGATCTACCTTGAGGGTGGGGACCACATCATTTCATCTCTCTATCCCCAGAGTCCGGCACCATGCCTATGGAGTCTTTGCTCATAGACATCTATGAAACAGAGTTCACTCAACTCAATTCTGAGTGCTTCTTGGCTCAGTTGACCTGATTTTAAAAACCGTTTCTTCAGAATGGTCTTGAGCCTGTTATTGCACACATTACATGCATATTCTCTGTCTCACAGGACAGATAGTGGTTGATTGGCAGATAAGAATTGTGTCTATAAGAGATTTCTTCCAATTTCAGAGCCTACCTACCCTGCACTAGCGTCAAGTCCCTTCAGAGTCTTGTCCCATCTGTCTGTCCATCCACATTCCTCCTCACATGTTGGAAACTCTAAGTAGGCCTCACTCTTTAAGTTGTCTAGGTGGGCCATGCTCCATGCTTGAGCCATACCTTTGCTCATGCCGTGACCCTTGTCTGGCATGCCCTCTCTGCAACCGCTCTTCTCATGAACCCCTTCCCTGTTTTTCACGCCGTACTCAGTCATCAAATCCTTAGTGAAGCTTCATTCTGCTCTCCGCCTTCTCTTCCTCACCCCTTTGCCATCAGTCTTCCATCCTTTGTGCTTTTCAGATGTTGTATATGCACCATTAAAAAAAAAAAACTGACCTAACCCCGAAGTACTTCAGTGTGTATTTCCTAAGATCAGGACATTCTCTTACAGGGCTGCAGTATAATTGTCAAAGTCAGGATTTTTAACTCGGGTACAAATACATTATCTAATACACGGTTCATTAAAAAATCCCATCCATTATCCTTCTCTATAACTTTATGGTAACAATTGTCACATAGTTTTACAGATCCTTGTTCACATTTGTCTGCTTCTTACACTCTTGCATGCATACAGTAACCCTATGAGTTTGGGCTTATATCTTTTATCCTTGGCTCCAATGAGCTGCCTTATAAGTTTTATCTTCTGTGTATTTGTGTATGTGTGTGTGTCTGTGCACGTGCACACACACGCATGTGTGTACATATTTAATTAGTTAACAGAGTTATATGGGCTTGTCTTCGGTTCCTCTGGTCTTCACGGGTTGGCCCTCCCCTCTGTACCCTGGTTGGTGCTCCCTCCTACAGATCCATGTCTTCTTTCTCTCTCAACCCTTATACTAACCTCATTTCTGAGCTTTCATTTATACTAACTAGTAAATGATTCGTGGTGGCTTGCAGTGTCCCTCTTCCTACGCGGTAGAAACTGAGGGATAGAAAAAAGTCCTCAAAGAAACACCACCCCTCCTGTCCTCAAGGACCTCTGTTTCTTGGGTCCGGTGTGTTTTTGTTTCTCCTGCAGAGACCAGCTCTGTGCCTTGCCTGCCATCTGTGCTTGGTGGCTCCTGGTTTGGTGAATGAATGCAAGAGTATAAAGGTTGTCCCTGAGACCAAGAGCCCAGGGCACAGCCACCCTCCTGTTAGGCCGGCTGGCCATGTAATCAATGGCTGGATGTGATGTTCCAAACCAGGGTATTCTGTTTCTTTCCTTTTGCTCATTTAAAGCTGATGGGCCATTCTGAGAAGCAGGTCAGACTAAAAATTTGGACTGCCCATTTTATGAGGGAAAAAAAAAAATCACAAAGAGACCAAGGAGAGAAATTGAAAAGAAGAACCGCTCCTCATGAGGGTTGTCACTATTTTAAAATAGTGACTTTTTAGCTGGCCTCATTTATCCGCTAAAGGCTTAGAGCTGCACTGGGAGAAAATTCTCTAGAACCTGTAGTCAGATTCCTTGCCCTCAGTATGCTTATCATTTCTACCATGTGCCCTATTTAGTTAACTCCTAGCTTGCTGCCCTAGGCCTCCCATGATTCTCTGGGCCTTTCTATCACCCATTGCTTTTAGGTTTCTTTCTTTGTGCTGTGATGGTAATCCTTTGTGGACCGCCAATGATATACATGACAATGCAAGAAACTTGAAATTAGGCCCAGGAGGCTTGTAACACAAGCCAGGTTTCTAGGGTTTTCCACCTCTGTTGCCTTTTGTCTGTCTCCCCTCCTGCCCTGGGTTTTGTGTGTTCACAAGAAGGAGCTACCCTTCACCTTCTCTCTTCACATCTCCAACTTCTCCACTCTCCCCTGAATCCACATTTCAACCTTTGACCTCCTGGACCAGCGTTTTCCTCAGTGAGGCTTTTCAGGACAGGGACTTATTCTTCACAGGTTGGCCCAAATGGTTTGATCACAGTGGGAAGCAGACAAAAACCTTGGTCTTCTATCCTCTTCTGGGTATCGGAGCCCAGGCATTTCTAAGGCATTTTTTGGGGTTTCTAAAAAAACCACCCACTGGCAGAAGATTCCAGAGGCTGGCTGAGGCCAAAACTCTGCCTGATTCTCACCTTCCTCTGGTGGTAGTGATGGGGAGCCCCTCTTGAGCTGGCAGGTAATCCTGTGACAGCTGGTTTTGGATAAACAAGCCTGGGTCACCGGATCCCCCGCAGGGCTCCAGGGGAAAGGCTGTGAGGGCCTGCCCTGTCCCCAGGATCATTCTGCAGTGGGACTGGTTTCTTGGAGATCATTAGTGCTCCTCTGTCATGGCCCCAAATCAAACCCAGCCAGGCTTGTGTTAGGACACCTTGCAATATTTGTTGACTCTCTTTTCCTCCTCGAATTGTCATCCTATCTTCCTGAGGTGAAGGAGGAGGGAGAGAAGGTGTGAAAGAAGCAGGGAAAAGACTCGGGTCAGAGATGATTGTCCTGCAGGGCCCGGAGTGGGGGCTGCTCCCCACCTGCCTCTTCTGAACTTTTGTCCAATCTCTTATATCTCAACCCCCCCGCCCCCTGTGGCTCTGGCCATTTTTTTCCCCTTGGGAGGTGATTTTTCACAGTGAGTCCTCTTGTCCCTGACTTTGGGCTTTTAACACTCTCTTAATTCCAGCCATTGTTTCATCTCTAAATGTACATTAAATAGCCCATCTTTCGCTTTGGTTCTTCTCACCTTGCTGGTGTTTATAGACGGAATGATTGTCCTTGATTTATGAGTTAGCTAAGCTGTATAATTATTTCTTCATCTTTACTCATGGCTTCTTCCATCCCTTAATCACTCTTGTTTTTCCCTAGACTGTCACTTTCTTTACATTTGTCTGGTAATGAGGCAGCCGCTGCCGTGTCCACTTCCTGTTCTGAGGACTGGGTGTCCGAAGAGGGCAGTTAATGTGCTCGGGACCCACCCCTGCCCCCTTGCATTATGAATCAGCTTCTCCCTGACTGTCAGCACTTAACACTTTCCTAATTTCAGCCCATGTGTTTATTGAAAGTGCATCGACCACGAAATACATAGTTCATCTCTCTCTCTCTCTGTCTCTCTCTCTCTGTTTGTGGATGGGTTTGTTTTTGATCTATGAATGTATTTATTTACAGAGGCTCTTGAATAAGACTCCACTCCAAGTGGATTTTAGATCCTTTTCTGAATCTACCGTTGTGTGAGGGAATGCAGGAACAGACGTGGGGTGGTGTAGGAGGCCACGCTGGATGGGCTTTCAGGCAGCCTGGGTTCAAATCCCGGCTTTCCTCCTCCCCCTTCCCAGCTGAGTGGCCGTGGGCAGGTCACTTAACAGACAGGAAACCTCACTTTGCTGAATCGTTACATGAAAATACCGTCACCCTCGCCCCAGCGTGGTCTTGAGGGTGGAATGAAATGGCTTGTATGAGCCCAGCACAGAGCAGGTGTCTGGTTCACACACATGTCCTTCAATTCATGCCCTAGGCTGGCTCCTTTTCCAGGTGATTCCCAGACTTTTGTAGCTCGTTAGCTAGGAAAATCTCAAAATATATTTTGATGAGCCTCAGTTGGCCAGCTTTTTATTTTGCCAAGCATAACAGTATAGAAAAATAACTAACCTCCATCTATTTGCGCTCAATTTCATTAAAAGCATATTTGAAAACAAAAAGTAACAAGGATGTTATGTGAGGGTTAGACATGGCACATATTTAGCTTTACAAAAACCTCCCTGAATCGTTCTTGTTGATCTTCCCTCACTAGGGAGGAGTGAACACTTGGTTCACAGACCAGCATTGGGAAGCTGATGGATTTGACAGCTCAGAAGGGTTTTCAAGATTGGGGTTTCCTGCCGTGGACACCTCACCCTGAGGTGGGGAGGGGTCGGGGAGGGAGTCTGAGGGTGCAGCATATTTTTCAGAGTTAAGTTTAAGGAACTGCTACGGTGTGATTGCTGAGTGAGCGGGTGTGAGAAGTTGATGTTGTAATACAAAGTGTGCAAGGGGAGCAGAGACAGAACATTTCGTGTCTGAGTTCCAAGTAAAATAATGGCTGTATCTGAGTTTGGGGTTTAAAAAAATACAAACGGTTGCA